CGTAACATCGCGATCTTAGAGTTTTATCCGATTGTACTTAGTCTCTGCTTATGGGGTCATAAGATGGCGAACCACAGTGTTTTATTTTTCACCGATAACGAAGCTTTGGTTTATGTCATCAATAAACAGTCATGCAAGGACAAGATTCTGATGCAGTTTGTTCGGAAACTTGTTCTTGTATGCCTGCAACATAATATTCTATTCAAAGCAAAGCATATCCCTGGGACGTATAATCGTTTGGCTGACCTATTGTCTCGCTTTCAGGTTCAAATCTTTCAACGCGAAACATCAGCCTCGATGAATTCTTGCGCAACAGACATCCCTCAAGCTCTGCTGCCACGAAATTGGGAAATATCGTTTCCCTCTTGACACGATCCAGTCTGCAGCGCTCTTCGATTCTTACTTATCAACGCGCTTGGAAACTTTTTGACCAGTTCTATTTACATATATCCGATACTATTTCATACACATTGCCTATTTCACCTCATACTTTGGCACTTTTCATTGCATACATGTTTGATCGGCGGTACGCCCCCGCAACTGTCAACACATATGTCTCCGCTATCGGGTATTCACCACTGATATACACTAAGACTGGATAGTGCATCCGGTGGTTCAGAGTGAAGCCGGAAGTGAGCTGCAGTAGCTGACCGCCGCCATGTTGGATGGCCCCACTTGAGGAGTGAATACTATAGATTTCTATTAAAACGCTTATTTTCGCTATATTTAAAACGCTTATTTTCTTCTCTTGGACCGAAACAAATCTTGTTTCAGGAAAGGAATATATAACATGAATGCTTTAAGAAGTAAATTTGAAGTTTTTAACCATGAAATCGCAGAGAAAACCGAAGTTTTGCGTCGTGATAATGAGTGCGACTGTGCGAGGACTGAAGATGTGAACGCCAGACTCGTCAATGGAGGCCAAAATTACAAGGATTAGATCATATTGAAGTGTTGGATCATTTAGTTAGGAATACTGATTCAAAGTACAAAGCAGCTTGACTAACTGAACAAGTTAGGCGGTACAATTAACGGCGATATTTACTGCTGAGTGCTGTATAATAAAACAGGTACGTTTTGGCAGGTTTTGCATTAATAATATATGACCTTTGTCATGGGTGTCAAAACTTAAATCCTGGTTCATACATTGTTTGTTTAGTACTAAAATGATGGGATAATTTTATATTTGAGTTATATGAAACTTTTATTAATTTCTGTGTGGCAGACGCTAACTGAAAAAAGTTTTTAAACTCCCTTGCATTTGAAACATTTGAACTATTAAAATGGATGACCCCATGTGGTCATGAAGTTCTGTGAAGAATGAAGGCACATTATTAGATTATTCTGATATTTTAATTGCAGGAGTTGGGAAGACAGAATGCTGACTTAACAGCCAAGAACATTGCAGCACTCGTGGCACTGGATTTCCATGTGGACTGTTCGTGCAGTCGATGCTCCAGTCAATGTAATAATTGGCAGGTTATTTCTATTCAAGGATATTGTATTCAGAGACGCTTTGAGAAATAAACTTGTGAATACTAACACTGGTCAAATTAAAGCTGCAAAATTTAATTACTATCGTATTTGCTTATTGTCTTGACTATACCGACTACTTACTAATGAAATGTTCATGCAAATTTACATTTCTTTCAGTCTTCAGGGATTTAAGACATGTGTATCAAAATGAATTTTTTTTTTCATTTTGACCAGCTAAACCCACAACACTCTGAATCTACAATATTTCTCATTATTTAAATGGCAGAAATACATATTAAAATGCAGATGGTATTGACAACAACACGACTTGATAAATATCTTTAATGTAATATAAACTAACACAACAACTACAGGTGCATATTGACTGAACATTGTACTCTTGATGTCTGATGGGCAAAGCTTCATAGCATTTACAATCTTGTGTTGAATTTGTAGAGTCTTCAGTACAACTGAAATACAATATACAAAAATTAGTGAATATTTTCAAACCAATTTTTCAGGGCTTTGGCCACAATATATACATTGTACACATTTCATTTCACATTTGAAACAAATCCAGTACACTACAACAGATAATATCAATGACATGGCTTTCTGTTTGTTTGGTTTCATCCTACAACTCAGCCACCCTGCATGAAACCTCCAAAGTCCAAACCGAAATAGATGGCCTGAGTGCACATTCCATTCACTCCACACCAGATATATCCGTACAAAATTGCTGGTCTATTGCCGTAAGATCACTCAAAAAGAAGTGATAAGTGTAACTACAAGTGTAACTACAACTACCTGAATTGATTGTCATACAGTATGTATATTCACAGTATAACCTCAAGAATATGATGCCAACAGTATATAAAACATGCCAGGTTAGCCATTTTAACATGGATTTTGGTCCCCAAAGTTAAATTCTCCAATGTATTGGCGTCAACTATCGCATATATTGGCGTATCTCCGGCGTAGTTTACATGGAATGCACCCTGGCCAGTTGGTTTATTAAACAAATTTGGCAGCCCAAGCATAAAAATCTCAATTACATTTACATTGCACACTATGATGTTATGCCGCTTATTAAACCTACCTAGTCACTCAAAAACTTAAGTAATTGTTTTAGTACTGTAGTTAGTGACTATTTCATACTGAAAAATCATAATTACTTCGTAATCTGCAGAGTAGAATGCTGTATTCTGACGTTCGGTCAGCTCTGATATTTCGACGGTCAAAACCAGTGGGTGAAAATATCAAATTATTTACCTGCGATTTAGTTTCTTTCAACATTCAAATGTTCCTCATACTTCTATGATATCTGCTTGTTCTTGAAATCCCCAGATTTGACTTGATTTATTCGCATACTTAGCGAGTATAAGGCGAAAACGCCGAAAAATGTCAGTTTTACAATAGAATCTACAGTCTTTCACTCCTCAAGTGGGGCCATTCAACATGGCGCCCGGTCTCAAAACATGACTTACTTCCGGCTTCAATTTTTGATTGGGCCTTCTATTACGATGCTCTATCCAGTCTTAGTGTATATCAGTGGTATTCACATAAACTTTTCAATTTGACTGACCCAACAAAAGCCTTTTTCATTATGCAAATGCTAAAGGGCTATGGAAAACTGGGCTTTCGCTTGGATAGTCGGTTACCAATAACCCTTCCAATCCTTACCCGATTACTTATGGCTGCTTCACAGTGTATTACCACTACATATGATCAATGCCAATTTAAAGCCATGTGTGCTCTGGCATTCTTCGCCTTTCTACGTATTGGCGAACTAACTTCAACATCAAAGCAGTCTCCTATTCCACTACATTTAAACCAACTCACCAAACTCTTAAGAGACGGTGAAGTAATTGGTTTTGAAATAACCTTCACCGACTATAAACACAATTACAACCAACGCCCGTTTTCCATGGCCATTTATCGTCAGCCAACCCCCAAGCCTTGCCCTGTACAACTTTTGTGCAATTATTTGACCCGCCGTGGCAATTCTCCTGGGCCAATTTTCATGACTCCTGTGGGGGCGACGGTGCCGAGAAACATGTTTATTTCCTATCTCAATCAATGCTTAAAATTTTGCAACCTCAATCCTACGGTTTATAAATCTCACAGTTTCCGAATTGGCGCAGCATCATTCGCAGCTGAGCAGGGCTTGTCTGATGCGCAGATTCGCGTCTTGGGTCGTTGGAAGTCCAATGCATTTCACAAATACATTCGAGTTTCAACCCTTACAGCGTCATAAATTATAGATATTTAACCCTCCCCTGGACAACAATGCGGGGTGTTGTCCGGTGGAGGCTTTAAGGGTGGCAGGGCGATGTTGTCATACAGGGGCTGACAATACCTTTCTGCCACGTTTTTCTTAGGTTTGCCAAATTATTGTCTGGTTGTGCAACTCGCTTTGTGCTATATACTTAAGGCTTGTTTCAGCAGTTAGCAAGGGCAGCTGCCATTTTTTCGTAATACTCAGTTTAATAATGACAAGACAGTTGGCAGGGGCTACTGCTATCACGTTGTAAAACATGTTTCAGACAGCTTGCAAGGGCGGCTGATCAACGACTTCGCTAGGTATACATTTATACCAGTTTCCATATATCGAGTATGCTAGTTTTGGAGCAGTCTGCAAGGGCGACTGCCTTCAACTTTCATAATTTTTGAGGTTATATCTCGTGACGTTCTTTCAGAATTTTCTAATATGTAAAGTCATACGTGTATGGTTGAGGCCATGTAGCGTTGCATTCTCTCGGGTGGGGAGACTTTTGATTCGTCCCTAGATGGTTAGGGCGAATTGCAAAGCCTTTGGCGTATATTCCTGCCACCTTTACTGGCTATAGAACACTTATATAATCAATCTAGACTTCAGTATTATTTTGATGTCAGAGAATATGTTATTTCATTAAATATTTTCAATAAAGCGGCTATGAACTATATTCATAGCCAAAATTTTTCCCATAAAAGTGTCGTCTAAAATTTTGTGCCTGCATGCCAGTAAACCAAGCTCGGTTAATGCAACGCTGTTTGATCCTCATAAACTCGAAAGGGAAGGTGGAGACATAAATAGAAATATTTCCCACGAAATATGGGTTTTTATGTCACACCTGAACTAATTAGATAAGTGAGTAACAATTTAATTATATTTAATGTTAATCCCTGGCGCGCCTGTTGAAGAGGAAGGAAATTTAGAGCACTTGAAACTACGTAACAGCTGGGCCAAGATCAAGGTCGATCTCTTGGTATTAAACCAAGATAACTTAGATATTTTGCAAGTCTCCAATATCAGTGGTCAAGTGAAGAACTCAGAATTTACCCACCTCCTCCCGCAGGCCTGCCAGCAATATCATAAGCATTTATTTTGTATCTGATTGTATATAATTATATATATATGAACTTTTTAACGCGTATATTCCTGCCACCTTTACTGGCTATAGAACACTTATATAATCAATCTAGACTTCAGTATTATTTTGATGTCAGAGAATATGTTATTTCATTAAATATTTTCAATAAAGCGGCTATGAACTATATTCATAGCCAAAATTTTTCCCATAAAAGTGTCGTCTAAAATTTTGTGCCTGCATGCCAGTAAACCAAGCTCGGTTAATGCAACGCTGTTTGATCCTCATAAACTCGAAAGGGAAGGTGGAGACATAAATATTTTTATACAATTGGTCCTTGAAAAGGACTTATTTCAAGCTAGAGTCAGATTTCAAACTAGAGTCAGATTTCAAAAGAAACCGCCTGTCTGACATTTTACAGCAACCTATATTGGCGCGCACAACGTTTTAGCCACAAATCCGTTGTTTTCTCAACAGAAACAAAAGGAATTTCAGTTAAAATTCTTACCTGATGAATATTCAAAAGTGTTTATCTCTTTTTGACGACTTTCAGTGCTCTTAATAGCGAAATAAAAAGCCTTTTGTTTTGTCACCGCACGCTGCGTTTGAAAATGCCGGCTGTCAAAGTCAGAATTGAAAACACCTCAAATATTTTAAAATTTTCTCACCTTTTTCATCCTTTGTTTATATTTTAATTAGTAATTTTTGTACTTCGTGTTTTTCCAAACATATTTGAGCTATTTAAAAACTTCAAAGAGGTACAAACACTGTGTTTTTGGGTTACAGAGTTTTTGGACTTGAACAACAAGTTCTGAAGTTCAAGTTCTCCATTGTAAACTAGATGTCCTGAGTGTGCCTGAGCTATGCCCAAGCAAATTTTTATAGCGTTTCATTATTTTGTAATTTATACCCTACAAGATGAAAACTAATTTGAAAATAAATGTGTACCAATCCAGGAATCAAAAAATATTTCTCCATTTATGTTGGGTTATTGACTTATTGCCCTTCAGATGTTGGGTGTCATGAAGAAACAAAATGTCAGACACTTAAATTTACACAAACCAAGAATTCTCACTCAAAAATCTAATGATATATTTTAGTGTGGGAGCTCATTTAAAATAGAATTGATTAATCATTTATCATTTTAACCCACTGCAAAATTTCAAGGTTTTTTATAACATTGATCTTGAGATATGGGTATTTTTGTAAAAGCAGTTGACAGAAGTTGACAGTAACTAAAATTCGCCATTTTCCTTGCAACTTGGGGAGTGCCAATGTTGCAACAGTCTGCAACTTAATGAGTTAAACACACCATCCTGGATTAAAACCTCCTGTCCAGCCATGCCATTATCACATAAACAGGCACAATATATCACACACATATATGCAGGGTTAGACATGAGTGAAGACACTGGCGTTAGACAGGTGAAAAAAAGTAGGGCGCACTGGGGCACATTCCAGCTCAATGCGAATGGGTTAAATATTAATTTAAAGTCAACCATTTACATGCTATAAACCAAGAAATATGCACTGAACTGATAAGCTAATATTATAATCAATTCTATATATTGAGTTAACAATTTTATGATTCAGATAGAAACATTATAATTGTAAGTTTAATACTCTCAAATAATTTTCATGTTTTGGCTAATAATAGGCTTGAAGCAATCAGCAAGTAAATATTATTCATATTCACATATTGTTTTATAATATACTATGTGGGTTCAAACATGCTTTCTCCAGTTTTGTCAACCAAGTGGCAAGTGTAACCCAGTATTTACTATGTTTATTCAAAATTTGAATTGTTGATTTTAACTAATATTTGACGGAATTGAAATGAAATAATTCAATATATAAAACCTCTCGCGCGCAAATTCAAATTTAGCAATAGCAGACAGCCACAACAGGCTATAACAGCCACAAGATAAAATGAGTAGGCCTAAATACGGTCGATGTACGTTATAATGATACGATATAAACAGTAATATTTCATACCTGAGATCAATAAGCCTTCGGCAGGATTCGGAGTCACTTATCCAGAACCAAATATGATAAAAAACACGATATTCTTGAGCGAAATATGCTCAAACGAAAAAGTCGAAAATTTGTAAATCACACTTGATACTTGATATACGATATCCCACAACTCATTGCGCGCGTGGCCCTTGTCTTCTAAAATACATACACCAAAAAGCGCTCCCTAGCTTGAAACTATAGGAAGCATTTATAATCTGAAAAAAAATGATTATAAAAAAATGATGAAAATTCTTATAAGCGAATAATGAGACATATTTTCTAAAAAAATTATATGCCAATTGCAATAATATAAAATTTTTATCGTTTAACGTATCGCATGTCATAACATTTGACAGCATTAACCTTGATGTCATAACATGTCGGTGATATTTACGCAAAATCTTGGGTAAATTTACACTTCATTTTTTGCGGTGGATCATACCACAGGCGGCCCAATCTCGCAAGGGTCAGTATAGACTTATAGTATAAATGTATATTATATTAATGTATATAACAGTAAAAATATGTCGTAAAATATAAATTTTAAAATGAAATTGTCTTGCCTATTTGATAGTGTGTGTTCTCCTTTTATTCCTCCTTTGTTGGACTAATATTTTCCAAGACTTTGTACTCGATGTTACTAGTATACATGAAACATGATAAAGGCTAACCATTCCCCATCGTCGATACGACGGCACGGCACTTCGAATCGAAAATTCTCACACTCAAATCGCTTTATTCTCAAAAAAAATTCGCCAGCATGTACAACAAATGCCGTTCTTCGAAAATACGGAGGTACTTCGGCGAGATGTACAAGTTTTCGACCATATTTTAACAATGGAAATCAAAACCCATTTTATATTGAACTTACCCGGACCAAAAATTACTACGGCGAACGTCTGCGCAACCAGGCCTCCTTTACCGTTGGATTTACAGGGGGGAAGCAGATATTTCCGGTAACAGCCAGCCAATCACGGCCGCGATAGCGACTGTTTACATTATTTGAAATTTGATATTCAAAATAAAAACTCCTTCGATCGGATACTGTATAAAACTCGAGATGTTGTCGAAGAAACGAAAACTAAACGATGGAGATTGAAGAAATTTAAGGAAGAAGTAATATACAGCGGCAAAACAGCGGCTCTTTGTTGGAAAGCATGGTAGAATATGATACTAATAATTCGAAATATTATCGTGAATATATTAGTGGCATCCTCCCCCCCTGTAAATCCAACGGTAAAGGAGGCCTGGTTGCGCAGACGTTCGCCGTAGTAATTTTCGGCCTGGGCAAGTTCAATATAAAATGGGTTTTGATTTCCATTGTTAAAATATGGTCCAAAACTTGTACATCTCGCCGAAGTACTTCCGTATTTTCGAAGAACGGCATTTGTTGTACATGCTGGCGAATTTTTTTTGAGAATAAAGCGATTTGAGTGTGAGAATTTTCGATTCGAAGTGCCGTGCCGTCGTATCGACGATGGGGAATGGTTAGCCTTTATCATGTTTCATGTATACTAGTAACATCGAGTACAAAGTCTCGGAAAATATTAGTCCAACAAAGGAGGAATAAAAGGAGAACACACACTATCAAATAGGCAAGTCAATTTCATTTTAAAATTTATATTTTACGACATATTTTTACTATTATATACATTAATATAATATATATTTATACTACAGTATAAGTCTATACTGACCCTTGCGAGATTGGGCCGCCTGTGATCATACCATCTTCATTAAAGCGTAGATAGACGATTGTTGCAAATGATTTGAATTCATATATAATTGTTATTTTTCAATAATAGCAGCAATTCATTGGGCATATTCAAATTCATTGTGATATCCGCCATGTTGAAACTGCGACAATTCAGGACAGAGCCGTTCAGCTTCAAATTTGACAAAAAAGTGAAAGATATACAATATTACAATTAGGTTTATTCAATTCAATATCATATCTCGTTTTAGCCATGCAAAAGTTGCCAAAAGAAAGGTTTTGATATACATGCGATAAATAATATTAAACTTTATTTCAAGATTGTTTTTCTAATTATAAGAATATTATTCTAGGATGGAAAAATGTTATTCTTAAAATAAGAAAAAAATTCTCTCGAATATTCTTGCCCAGTTATATTTTCTTATTTTAAGATTTTTGTTCTCATTAAAACTAGATTTTTTTTCTTGAAATATTTCTTGATAAGAAATATTTACTTAAAATAAGAAAAATAATCTAAAAATTAAGAATATTATTCTAGACTAGAATTTGATTTTTTGCAGTGTGATTCACCAAGTTCAATTTTAGGGTCCGTTAGTACTAAGTTTGAAATTCGTTGTCTTGAACCAATAATCATGTATTCAGTTTTATCTTTGTTAAGTGTAAGTTTGTTTGCAAGTAACCATTGGTGTATATTTTCTAAGTCCACGTTAATGCGTTCTTGCAGTTCGTCATTTGTTTTGCCATTGGTTGAAACATTTGTGTCATCGGCAAACATGCTTGCTGAAGATGAGGTCAGGCAGTTTGGCAGGTCGTTTATATATAGTAAGAAAAGAAGTGGCCCAAGATTAGAACCTTGGGGTATTCCACATTTAACTGTTCTTGTCTTGGACATTGTTTGATCTACCTTACATATTTGAATCCTGCTAGAAAGATAAGACTGGAACCAAGCAAGCGTATGACCTCTTATTCCATAACAATGCATTTTTTAAACAATATATTATGATCAACACAGTCAAACGCTTTCTTGAGATTCAAAAAAATCACTCCATTTAACAAACCCTTATCCATATTCATTAGCCATTGGTTCGTGATGTTAAGTAGAGAAGTTTGTGTAGAGTGATTTTTCCTAAATCCTGCTTGTTGTTCTGCAAGAATGTGATTAGTTTCAAGATAAATGTCTAGTTGCTCTGTAACTAATTTCTCATATATTTTAGCAACTGAGGATAGAACCGAGATTGGTCTATAATTATCGCAATTAGTTTTGCTTCCAGCCTTATGAATTGGAGAAATGATAGCAATCTTGAAGTCTTCAGGAAATATATACCAGTGTTTTTAGATGCGTTAAAGATTGCTGACAGGG